ACTCGTTCGCGCTATCATGCAATCATGCATTCATACATTCATGCATTCATGCATTCATGCATTCATGCATTCATGCGTCCATTCATTCATTCATTCACTCGCTCACTCACTCAATCACTCACTCCTTGAGATAGTCAATGGATCACTCGGTGTGTGTGTTCGTCTGACCACTTCAAGCATATTGAACTGGAGTCGGTCTAGTAGATGAAGGCACGGGACGTGTAGTGGACGATCGGTGTGATGCGACATAACGGATGGGCAATAGTTGAGTGTGATGCGCTGATTAGACAAGGTACTGGTTGTCCAGACGACACAGACGACCAGCTGGCTGCCTCATCCTCGCACACCATGAGTGGGTGGTGTGAGTGCACGGTCAGACACGTTGGCGATGTTCTGGTCGCTGGCGATTCGACTCACTGTGGTGAGGCGACCAACGACACAGTGTGGCTCGTGACTGACTGGTCGGTGTGATGCATCGAGTGATGTCGGACCAAAAGCCCACCAGCTCCGGCGAGGCGGATTCGAACCACCGACCTAAGGATCACTGCACCAATCTACAGTCCTCCGCTCTACCAACTGAGCTATCGCCGGACGTGCGATCGCACACTAACACATCACTTCACACTTCAATCCCACCAACACAATTATACAACACAATCGACCATCTCAGCCTACATTCAACACTCGTACACACGTAACCTGCAAAATAGAAAACACACCACCAATTACATATCACCAATACACCCACAACCATTCAACTAAAAACCAACACCACCCATCACATTACAACCGACACAGCTCGTCACATCACAGCACATCCACACTCAGTCATTCACTCACTGGCATCTCCTCCATCAACTCTCACAATCTTCAACACAAACAACAAAAAACCACACACACACACACACACAATCCAAACAACACTGCGTCATACACATCTCCCTAATCACTCAAACATACACATTCACTCAACACATACACATCTACACCATTCATTCACACCACTCTACAAATCACATTATCGGTACACACATCACTCAACACGAACAACCAACACAACTGTGTCCACCATCAACGCAATACAAATTCAATTCCATCATTCACCAATTCCAAACACACACACACACATTCACACTCACACACTCACACACACACTCACAACCAACATGCACAACTATCCCATACACTGAATCACATCTACTCCATACAGAAACTAATACACTCATTCCACACTACAACCATCTGTCCCACACCAATCTCTCTTCAACGACTGCACTCATGCGAACGATTATCGTCAGAACATATCCACACTGATCAGCATAGACACACGCACACACGCGCACACAAATATTCATTGTCACAATCAGTTCACCATCACTGCTGTATACAGTCTCAGTGTTTTACAAGCAAATACCGAGTCGATCAGTGTTGTGCCGCACTCGTATAACATCATTCACTCGTTCGCGCTATCATGCAATCATGCATTCATACATTCATGCATTCATGCATTCATGCGTCCATTCATTCATTCATTCATTCATTCACTCGCTCACTCACTCAATCACTCACTCCTTGAGATAGTCAATGGATCACTCGGTGTGTGTGTTCGTCTGACCACTTCAAGCATATTGAACTGGAGTCGGTCTAGTAGATGAAGGCACGGGACGTGTAGTGGACGATCGGTGTGATGCGACATAACGGATGGGCAATAGTTGAGTGTGATGCGCTGATTAGACAAGGTACTGGTTGTCCAGACGACACAGACGACCAGCTGGCTGCCTCATCCTCGCACACCATGAGTGGGTGGTGTGAGTGCACGGTCAGACACGTTGGCGATGTTCTGGTCGCTGGCGATTCGACTCACTGTGGTGAGGCGACCAACGACACAGTGTGGCTCGTGACTGACTGGTCGGTGTGATGCATCGAGTGATGTCGGACCAAAAGCCCACCAGCTCCGGCGAGGCGGATTCGAACCACCGACCTAAGGATCACTGCACCAATCTACAGTCCTCCGCTCTACCAACTGAGCTATCGCCGGACGTGCGATCGCACACTAACACATCACTTCACACTTCAATCCCACCAACACAATTATACAACACAATCGACCATCTCAGCCTACATTCAACACTCGTACACACGTAACCTGCAAAATAGAAAACACACCACCAATTACATATCACCAATACACCCACAACCATTCAACTAAAAACCAACACCACCCATCACATTACAACCGACACAGCTCGTCACATCACAGCACATCCACACTCAGTCATTCACTCACTGGCATCTCCTCCATCAACTCTCACAATCTTCAACACAAACAACAAAAAACCACACACACACACACACACAATCCAAACAACACTGCGTCATACACATCTCCCTAATCACTCAAACATACACATTCACTCAACACATACACATCTACACCATTCATTCACACCACTCTACAAATCACATTATCGGTACACACATCACTCAACACGAACAACCAACACAACTGTGTCCACCATCAACGCAATACAAATTCAATTCCATCATTCACCAATTCCAAACACACACACACACATTCACACTCACACACTCACACACACACTCACAACCAACATGCACAACTATCCCATACACTGAATCACATCTACTCCATACAGAAACTAATACACTCATTCCACACTACAACCATCTGTCCCACACCAATCTCTCTTCAACGACTGCACTCATGCGAACGATTATCGTCAGAACATATCCACACTGATCAGCATAGACACACGCACACACGCGCACACAAATATTCATTGTCACAATCAGTTCACCATCACTGCTGTATACAGTCTCAGTGTTTTACAAGCAAATACCGAGTCGATCAGTGTTGTGCCGCACTCGTATAACATCATTCACTCGTTCGCGCTATCATGCATTCATGCGTCCATTCATTCATTCATTCACTCGCTCACTCACTCAATCACTCACTCCTTGAGATAGTCAATGGATCACTCGGTGTGTGTGTTCGTCTGACCACTTCAAGCATATTGAACTGGAGGCGGTCTAGTAGATGAAGGCACGGGACGTGTAGTGGACGATCGGTGTGATGCGACATAACGGATGGGCAATAGTTGAGTGTGATGCGCTGATTAGACAAGGTACTGGTTGTCCAGACGACACAGACGACCAGCTGGCTGCCTCATCCTCGCACACCATGAGTGGGTGGTGTGAGTGCACGGTCAGACACGTTGGCGATGTTCTGGTCGCTGGCGATTCGACTCACTGTGGTGAGGCGACCAACGACACAGTGTGGCTCGTGACTGACTGGTCGGTGTGATGCATCGAGTGATGTCGGACCAAAAGCCCACCAGCTCCGGCGAGGCGGATTCGAACCACCGACCTAAGGATCACTGCACCAATCTACAGTCCTCCGCTCTACCAACTGAGCTATCGCCGGACGTGCGATCGCACACTAACACATCACTTCACACTTCAATCCCACCAACACAATTATACAACACAATCGACCATCTCAGCCTACATTCAACACTCGTACACACGTAACCTGCAAAATAGAAAACACACCACCAATTACATATCACCAATACACCCACAACCATTCAACTAAAAACCAACACCACCCATCACATTACAACCGACACAGCTCGTCACATCACAGCACATCCACACTCAGTCATTCACTCACTGGCATCTCCTCCATCAACACTCACAATCTTCAACACAAACAACAAAAAACCACACACACACACACATGCACATTGTGGGAAACAGCAACATTGTAAACCATCTCAACTACAATACACTCTGCACTCCCTTTCGCTCAACTCTCCACTCTCACAAACTCAACCTACCACTTCGATCATCACTCCACCCTCACTCACTCACTCACTCACTCACTCGCATACTCCCTCACCCACCCACACAATACAACACACATGCGTCACTTCAGTCTATCTACAACACAATCAACCTTATCTGTGCTGCATCACACACGCATATTCAAACAACATAATGTTACACTTTTGTTTTTTTTCCATGTTTTTTTGTTGATATTTTTACTCTTTTTCGTGTGTTTTAATATTTTCTTTTTTTCTTGTTTATTTTTTTCCCTGTTTTTGTTTCTGTTTTATTCATTTTCTTTTCTTTTTTCGTTCTTTTTATTCTAATATTTTTCTGCTGTTTTCTATCTTTTATTGTATTATTCCTTATATCTATGCCATTTAATTGTTTTTTTTTCTCTGTCAATATTTCTCTCAATTTTTTTATATTCTTTATTTTCTTTTTCTTTTTCTTCTTTAATTTTCTTTTCTTTATAACTGTTTACTTCCAATATATATTCTCGTCCATATACATATACGAAATCATCCAAATGCGTCACAAGACAAGCCTTCACATGGAATCCTCAAGGTTGAAGGAGGTAAGGTTTACCAAAGAAGAACACATTACGCCGTGAAATGGAACTAGACATGAGAAAAATGAATAACAATTGGATGAAACTAGAAAAGAACGCTTAGGACAGAGTGAGTGGGTTGGAGAATACTGGTCGGCGGCCTATGCTCTTTCACGAGGAGTAACAGGCATAAGTAAGTAAGTAAGTAAGTGAGTAAGTAAGTAAGTAAGTAAGTAAGTAAGTAAGTAAGTAAGTAAGTAAGTAAGTAAGTCAGTCAGTCAGTAAGTAAGTAAGTCAGTCAGTCAGTCAGTCAGTAAGTAAGTAAGTAAGTAAGTAAGTAAGTCAGTCAGTCAGTCAGTCAGTAAGTAAGTAAGTAAGTAAGTAAGTAAGTAAGTAAGTAAGTAAGTAAGGTAAGTAAGTAAGTAAGTAAGTAAGTAAGTAAGTGAGTAAGTAAGTAAGTAAGTAAGTAAGTCAGTCAGTCAGTAAGTAAGTAAGTAAGTGAGTAAGTAAGTGAGTAAGTAAGTAAGTAAGTAAGTGAGTAAGTAAGTATATACATATACACTATTCATTATATATCAAATGTTGATTATTATTTACTTACTGGCACTTCATGTTTCTATTCATTCCTTTAGTTAAACATTGAAATTGATTCAATTGCTTATTGTCTATTTGTTGTATTCCATTCAAATCCAATACTAATATACGATATGGTCTATTGTAGAAATTCTCATTTTTATTCTATAAAATGGTAATACAAATATATTTAATAGATCATGTCATCTATTGAAATGTTGATATGTCTTGTGAATTGAATGCATAGATTCAGTTTCTAAGCTGTTTTAATAACCCTCCTTTTCTAGACTAGATCTATACAGTGACTAAGTGAAAAGACGTGAAATGTGAAAGAAAACCCTTTACTTCAATGGTTCGTTTATGTATAGAAAAACACTAGAGCGTTTATAGTCTATTTTTAGATAGCCTTAGTTTAGTGGATATGGAGAGTTCATGTAGAGGAGAGTTGAAAAACTCTTATACCAAATCAACGCTGCAAGAATAAATGGATTACAAATCAATCATTGATCACCAACTACCATGGCACTACATCTACTAACGTCATTCTACTGCCTTATGGATTAGACTTTTCGGTCAAAGCCTTTTAGTGTAAACCACTAACAAGATTATCTACTTTGGTTTGAGCACTCCGGGTACTATCATAGCCCAAACACAAATCAAGTGACTTATATAACTCATATGTATTCGGTGCCCCTCCTTATCAATATTTCTGTTCATATAAATAAATTGATTAATTCACATATATTGATTTATTGATTTATTTAAGTGCTAATTCAATCAATTTATCTAAATATAACTAATGAGTAGTTGAGATAAACCATGTGAAAATCGATCTATATTCCATGAATAACTCCCTTTATAATCAGAGAACGATTTCTGTAGATATTATAATAATTTCAATGGTTGACATCATGATTGAATTGAAGCTAGATCACCATGGACAACGTAAAAGCATTAGACGGTCGTTTTGCGAGACATGGTCGTGGATTCGCACTGTCGAAAAGTCTCACAATAGAAAGAAACAATTGTCTAATACTTTCAAGTTTTCCATAATCGTCTAAATTCAATTCACTCATGATGTCAATCACTTGAAACTCCCATCTTCCAGATCTAATCAAAATAGTATAACTCAGAAATTCTATAATATCAATAATTCAATGTTCAAAATTCATATAAAGCGTAATTTAAAGTAACCAAACACCACAAGTTTTATATCAATCAATTGATCAACCTCAGTATATCAATCATATTAAGAACCAACTTACAATTTGAGATCTACAATCAAATAAAGATGATGAAGAGATGGATGCTAAGGTTATAGGAAATGAATTTGATCTATTTGGATAAGAGTAGATAGATGATAACTTTTGTAAAATTTTATTATCATTATTGTTTATGAATGTAGTGTTACTCATAAAATCGATTGAATGATCATTAGGTGTATTCATTTGTAAATCTTTTGGTTTAAATATTCTTTTACGATAATCAATTATTAATTCCATAGGGATATTTGTTATAGTTTCAATTAATTCTATTAAACTGAATGAATGATTAACAAAATAAACTTGATGAAACTAAAAATTGAAAAAAAAAAAACAAATTTCGGTAAATTATTTTAGTGATTAAAAATATACTACTGCCTATAAATAAGTAGCTCGATTTTTTTAGTAGCAGAGGTTATCGTAGTAGTCGCAGTAGTAGTAGTCGTAGTAGTAGTAGTAGTAGTCGTAGTAGTAGTAGTAGTAGTCGTAGTAGTAGTAGTAGTAGTAGTAGTAGTAGTAGTAGTAGTAGTAGTATGCCTTTGTTCCTCCTAGAACCATATCTGGGGCGTATATGGTCTTGATTCTATGACAAAGTGTCTTAACCAAGTCCTTTTATGTGTTGCAGAGATACAAAAACTAAGAAATTTTGTATATTGGCAAGTTCAAGTAGTATTGTAGTTTAAGTTGTTTTTTTTTTGTTAGTGATCCATCTATTCTCCTTACATGTAGAACACTTAAAAGAGCTGTTTTACCTCGGTTTTTTTCCTTACATGTGAATTTAATGGATGGATGAACCTCAGCCAATATGAAACCTAGTGTGAATCCATGGTGACATTATCTATTTGTCTATATATTTCATCATTGAAGGTGAAATGTACGTTCAGAATGCATTCTAGTAATAATTTATCAATGATGTCCACAACGATTGTAGTCTCTGTTTCCTGTTCTCTAAGTTGTTTATATATATATATATATATATATATATATATATATATATATATATATATATATATATATATATATATATATATATATATATATATATATATATATATATATATATGTATATATATATTCTACAATCCCCCTGGACGTGACAATTACAAGCAATGATGTTACGTTTAACGACATTATTGTCATACCCTTAGAGTTTATGTTCTTGTCCTTATCTGAAGAACATTCTTCACTAGATGTGTGGGGAGTGGTTTTGACATGGTTACTAACCACTTCGCTACAATATGATAAGGAAGATTGTACATGTCTAGAATTGGTCTCAATGGGATATCTGTTTTGTACACATTCAGTAGTCTGTATAGCCTTGGCAAATGAGTACCTATTGGGTTAATTGTAGGTATTTACTTATGATTTCTGACGATAAACCTGTAGGGACAGTGAAATGTCACTGAGCCCTAGACAAATCATCCGGCAGTTGAGTCACTGAATATCGAACAAATCATCGATCCTCGTCAACGTGAAGGACAACCTATGCGCATCAGTTAATCGTATACCATGAACTGGCCAATGCGGTGGTGGTCTTTCTATCTTCTCTGTACTCATTCATACCAATATATTTCCATAATAACGTCGTTTGTGTTATACGCTCTTCAAGGAAGCCATATTACTTTAATACATCGAATGGGTCATTCACGTTAGATGCTGATTGCAAGGTGTAACTTGAAGGTTAACTGGTTCGTCATATCATTCCCATGTAACACAAGTAGGCCTCTAATTATTCAGCATAGATCATCTATGTTAATGATCTACAAACCCTACCGATATCTTTCTCTCATATAAAATGAATCAAAACTTATATGAAACAAACGATACAACATACTGTAGATAGTCATCATACAAAACAAACAAAACAAACAAACCTACCTGTCCCATTAAAATTAAACATAATGCATGAATGATAGTAGTTTGAAAATCTTCTGATACATTCCGTTGTTTATATTCCAGCGAATCATTGATGATTTGATATTTGGAATGAAGTAGATAACTTAAACAATTACATTTTATATGTAGTTTATTCATTAGTAAATCTTTCAATTGTTTATTAGGTTGAATGAACTCATCATAAAGAGAAGGTTTATAAGAAGATAAATGAAGAACGCCTGGTATAGATTGTTTAAAATATAATTGATCTATTGAATGGATGTGATCATCTATAGGATGAATAGTATTGATAGGATTGTTAATTGGGTTAGTAGGAATAGATGAAATGGATGAATAAGATGATTGTGTAGATCGAAGTTTTGTAGATGATTTCTAGGAAAGAACAAATGAAAAAAATGATGATGATGCTTTGGATGATGATGATGATGATGATGATGATGATGATGATGATGATGATGATGATGATGATGATGATGATGATGATGATGATGATGATGATGATGATGATGCTTTGGATGATGATGATTTGGATGATGATGATGATGCTTTGGATGATGATTCGCATTACAATATGTCAACAAACAAAGTATTAGAACGAAACGACCGTCCAGTGCTTCCAGGATTTTCATGGTGGTCTAGCTTCAATTGACTCATAAAATCAACTACTAAATGAAGTATTCTTAATGGGGAGTTAATGTGGTGTGTGCTACTTATTTCGATATAAGTAGTATATAACATTAATCAGAAATAGAATGTCTGGCAACGGAAGGTTCGGAAGATCGAGGAGGGAAGAATGGGAACAGAAAGTAATCATTATGAAAATATAGGAACAATGAAATGTGAGACAATTAATGAACATTTTGCGAATGAAGTATTGGCGTATGGTTTATCAAGGAACTCTGTAATTTTATGCTAAATATAATCAGTTGTCTCCACATATGTTCTCTTTCACTAGAATAATACGAACTACCTTAATTAATCCTAGTGTAGTTCACCAAGGTAGATGATCTATGTCGAATGATTGGAGGCCTACTCGATTTAGACTGGAATGGTGTAACAAAGGAGCTAACTTAGAAGTCACATCTCACGATAAGCATCTAACGTGGATTACCCCTTCGACGTATCAAAGTACTATAGCTGTTTTGAAGACCGTATAACATAGAGGACGTTATTACAGCAATATATTAGTTAAGGTAGATACAAGCAAAAGTAGAACCACCACCGCATTGATCAGTTCATGGAGTACGATTAACTGATGCGCGTTTGTTGTACTCGACTTTGACGAGAATCGATGATTTCTTCGATATTCTATAACCCAACTGCCAGATGATTTGGCTAGGTCTCAGTGACATTTCACTGACCCTACACTAGTTTAGTACTCTTTAGTAAGTCATACACATAATGCAGAACATTTAGTTCAACTGAATTGTGGTGCTTCTGTGTTATGAATTTACTTCTTCATGTAAATTCACCTAAGATTAAAAACTCTTCAGAAAATCTACTCTTAGTTTTATAATGTATGCTACTGATGTCGACTGATATAAGTAGTATGTATCATCAATCGAAACTCAAATACCTAGAGTTAGAAGGTTAAGAAGATCAAAGAAAAGAGAACTAGAACAAAGAATGAATAAAGTGAAAATGAAAGAACAATGAAGTCTAAGACGATTGATTGACATATTACAAATGAAGTAATGACTGTATGGTTCTTAGATTCGACTAAGAGATTCTGTATTCAATTACATTCGATAGTCTCCCATTTGTATTCTCATTCATTATATAATAATCATACATATCACATCAAAACGTACTTACTTACGCCTGTTACTCCCAATGGTGCATAGGCCGCCGACCAGCATTCTCCAACCAACTCTGTCCTCAACCTTCCTTTCTAGTTCCATCCAGTTCTTGTTCATTTTCCCCATGTCTATCTCTATTTCCCGACGTAGTGTGTTCTTTGGTATTTCTGTTCTCCTTTGGCTCTGACGATTCCATGTGACGACTTGTCTTGTGACGCAGTTCGGTGCTTTCCTCAAAGTGTGTCCTATCCACTTCCAGCACTTCTTCCTGAGTTCTTCCTCCGCTGTAATCTGGTTTGTTCTCTCCCACAGTAGGTTGTTGCTGATAGTGTAGTGTCTAGCCAACATATCCGAAGTATTTTGCTTAGACAACTGTTAATAAACACCTGTATATTCTGGATAATGGCTTTTGTGGTTTACCATGTTTCCGCCCCATACAGTAGAATTGTCTCGACATTTGTATTGAAAATTCTGACTTTGATGTTAGTTGACAGATAGTTCTTTTGATTTCCAGATGTTCTTCAGTTGTAAATATGCTGCTCTCGCTTTGTCGATCCGTGCCTTCACATCTGCATCAGATCCACCCTGTTCATCGATGATACTGCCCAAATATGTGAAGGTTTGTACATCTTCCAAATCTTCTCCGTCAATTGTGATTGGATTGTTGCATGCTGTGTTGAATCGGAGAATCTTGCTTTTCGCTTTATTTATGTTGAGACCTATTGCTGCTGAGGCTACTGCTACACTGGTCGTCTTCTCCTGCACTTGGTGTTGCGTTTGCGATAGAAGAACCAGGTCATCTGGGAAGTCCAGATAGTCCAGCTGCATCCCAGATGTCCACTGTATCCCATGCTTCCCTTCAGATGTTGACGTCTTCATGATCCAGTCGGTCACCAGGAGAAAGAGAAAGGGTGAGAGTAAGCAACTTTGCCTGACACCGGTCTTTACTTCGAACGACTTTGTCAATTGTCCTCATAACTCGCTTCGGCGGTACATATACAAAATTGGAACGATACAGAGAAGTGTAGCATGACCCCTGCACAAGGATGACACGCAAAATCGTGAAGCGTTCCATATTTTTTCAACTCCGCCTGGACTCTCTCCGGGGGCTACTGCCGGTTCCAAGCCCAGGTAAAGGAGGAGGGTTGGGCATGGGGTTAGCGACCCCATCCCGTAGAAAACTAACTCGCTAAAAACCGATAACATTAGAACTATCATATATATAAAGATATACTACTTATGTAATTGTAACTTACTGAATTGGAGTAAACTTGTATAGGTGCATCATATTTATTGTATAGATGTATATGAAGTTGATCATTCAGTAATTTATGCGTTAAGCTAAAATGAATTAACACAAAATGATTCATGAAATACTAAACGTTCAGTATAGGCCTATGGAGATTATTAAGTTTTTTGAACTGAGATCATGAACCGTTTGATGTTAGATCACCATTGAAAACTTGGTAGCACTGGATGACTGCTTCGTTCTATTGTGAGACTCCTCACGAGAGCGAGATCGTGAATTCGCACTGCTGAGGAGTCCAATACTAGGACGAAATGACCATCCAATCCTTCCAGATACTATGTGACTTTTAATTTATTATCAGAAGGGATTTTGTGGAGATTTTAGTAATTTTATAGTTGAATTCATGAGTCCATTGAAGCTACACAACCAGAGAAAACCTGAAAGCACTGGGAGGCTGTTTCGTATGCTCACTAGTGACTGTATCCAAGAGGTATTTGCTGGAGTTCTAGTAAGAAGCCGTGACCAGTGGAGTTCAACCTGGTCTGTTGTCACATAGAAACTCACTGAAGACAATGATGGACGGTGGCGCAATTTCGTGGATTGGTTGAAGTTGGATGCCAGCTCATTGGTCTAAAGTTTAAGCTTTCGCGCGTAAGACTGATAGGTCCTGTATTCGAATCCATCGTGGGGAGAATCATGGATGCGCACTGGTGAGAAGTCCCACAATAGGACGAAACGGTTGTCCAGTGCTTCCAGGTTTTTTATGGTGATCTATCTTCAATTGACTCATGATCTCAACCATTGAAATTACTATAATATCCATAAAACCCCGTTCTGATATTGATAAGAATACATCAAATCATCCAGTCAAAATACGGTTTTCAGTGGATTTAGTATGTTTTAGTTTCTTATAATAGGTAACTAGACCACTGAGCCCGGCATCCAACGGTGTTAATGTCTAACTTCAACTAATCCACGAAGTTGCGCCACCGTCACCATTGTCTTCAGTGAGCTGATATCTCACAACAGACCTGGTTGAACTCCACTGGTCACGGCTTCTCACTAGAACTCCAGGAGTATCTCTTGAAGTCAGTCACTAGTGAGCAGATGATTATTACTAGAATGGGTTTTGTGGAGAATTGGTAATTTCAATAGTTGAAATCATGAATCAATTGAAGCTAGACCACCATGGAAAACCTGGAAGCACTGGACGGCCGTTTCGTCCTAGTATGGGACTCCTCAGCAGTGCGCATTAACACCGTTGGATGCCGGCTCAGTGGTCTAGTTGGTTAAGCGCCTGGCGCGAGACTGATAGGTCCTGGGTTTGAATCCCGCGGGGTGCGGGATCGTGGATGCGCACTGCTGAGGAGTCCCGTACTAGGACGAAACGGCCGTCCAGTGCTTCCAGGTTTTCCATGGTAGGTCTCTCAATATCATTCATAGCCTTTAGTAATAAAATTCCATGATATTACTCAAACCATCATCCATTATCGTTCATAATATCTGCCTTACTCCATAGATTACTAATGACAGCCAAGAAGTAATCAACTCGCTGTGAAGCCTAATGCTCTAGAATTCAGTTCTGAATGTGATACACAACATTTTCGAGCTATTTGAACTGGTGATCACATTATAGCTCTATGGATAACAATCACTAGGGATTAAGAACATAACATACAAGTCTAGTGTTTTCTTTTTTTTAGTATAGAAGTCTTGTGGAGACTATTCAATTTATGGTTTACATTACAGACTGGCTTTTAGTTAAATGATCATTGAAGATCAGAAAGCATTAGAGAGCTGTTTTGTCTGATTATACGATTCCTCATTAGCTCATATTCATGACCAGGTTATAGATTGAACGCAGAACCTTCAGGTCATGTAGTGAACATTAATTTAGCATACAACAAATTACATTTTCAACCCAAATCAATTCTTAATACTGAACTATCATCAGCCGCTGACTCCTGATGATTCGTTGAACTGGAAATTACTAGATAGTTAATAACAGAACTATAGTACATTTGTGTACAAACTAACCTTTCTAGCGTAACTTTCTGTTGTTTTCTTCTTCTTCTTCTTCTTCTTTTTCTTTCATGAACATTAGTTGACTCATATTGTAAATCAAGCAGCTCTGATGCTTGTGATGTTAACATCAATATCAAAGTCATCTGTTGAATTATTTCATTCGATATTGATAATGGTGCTGGAAATTGATTATTTATTAAATGTTGAATATAATTTGTTAGTACTCTAGGTAATTGAGGATTAGTTTCAGGCCATGTTATCACCTTTACTATTGGCCTATATTTTCGAAAGAGAGAGAGAGAGAGGGAGGGAGGTAGGGAGGAAAAGAGAGAGTTTATTTCAATGGTTAAGATCATGAGTCAGTTGAAGCTAGACCATCATGGAAAACCTGGAAGCACTAGACGGCCGTTTCGTCCTATTATGGGACTCCTCATCAGTGCGTAGCCACTACCTCGCCCCCTGCGAGATTTTAACCCAGGACATACTAATTTTGCGCGCGAGCACTTAACCAATAGACCACTGAGCCGGCAGGCATCCAACGGTGTCAATGTCTAAATTCAACTAATCCACAAAATTCAGCGACACATCCACCATTGTCTTCAGTGAGTTACTATCTCACAACAGACCTGATTGAACTCCACTGGTCACTACTTCTCACTAGAACTCCAGGATATACCTGTTGAAGCCAGTCACTAGTGAGCATATGTTGATTATTATCAGAAGGGGTTTTGTGGAGATTGTAGCAATTTCAATGATTAATATCATGAGAATTTATTGATGAAATATATATCCAGTTGAAAGGTTTCCTGGGAAATCTTTTCCATGATCAAATCAATAACAGAATCGTCAGGAAAGTCTAAGGTAGTCAAGATTTTATTACCGTTATACACTAACCTTTTGTGTTTGAAGTAGGCACTGAGGATGTCTTCTGGAAAAGGTAATGAAAGCTCCTCAATATTACCACTCAGTTTAAAAGACACAACACTAAATCCATCGATGAAACTTTAATTTATGGACAAACCAATCAGATATGAGGTAAGAGGTCTTGGAAATTCATCCATTTGGCTATATAGCATTTTTAGTTGATGTCAGTTCGTGATAAAAATCTTAAATCGTATCCCTAACCCTGATCATCAACTGTAAATCATAATTCTAATTCTTCACACTAGTTTATAACCGCCATTTAGCTCTAGTAAGAAGGTGAACATTCTGAAGATCATTTTAGGTATCACTCAAGGGTTGTCCATAAATCAATTCATCTACTTTACATTCAAATAAAAAATTATATGGGTTTTGTGGATATCATATATATCCACAAAACCCATATGATATTAATCAATATATGCTCATTAGCGACTGGCTTCAACAGGTATATCCTGGAGTTCTAGTGAGAAATAGTGACCAGTGGAGTTCAACCAGGTCTGTTGTGAGATAGTAACTCACTGAAGACAATGGTGGATGTGTCGCTGAATTTCGTGGATTAGTTGAAGTTAGACATTAACATCGTTGGATGCCGGCCAGCTCAGTGGTCTAGTGTTTAAGTGCTCGCGCGAGAAACCATTATGTCCTGGGTGGGAATCTCGCAGGGGGGGCGAGGTCTTGGATGCCCACTGCTGAGGAGTCCTACAATAGGACGAAGCGGCCGTCCAGTGTTTCCAGATTTTCCATGGTGGTCTAGCTTGAACTGATTCAATATAAAAAATCTCTTATTTATGAGTTACTACTGATTTTAAATTAGTAGTATAAAATGTTCAATGAAAAAATTAAACATCTAATTCATGCTTACCATGTTATTGTTGGTAAATGTTCCATACTTTCAAGTTGTACAGGTTGAGAACTATTCAAAAGACTTTTCCAATAAGGACTTAGTACAGTTATACATGATTCAATAGTATCTTTAACACTAAATAGAAATATAAAGAAGATAAATAAACGGACTACCACATATTATATAACACTGTTGATAGTTGTTGATGGTCCTAGGGATTAAATTTAGCAGATATGAAGTCATTTAAGAATGTCTCTTCCTTTAGAAGAATAAAATGGCCTTTCAAGTTTTATAGATTGAGTTTTATATATTGTCATGTTTGATCTTGACCGTAATCATAGCCGAACTCTATCGATTAGATTACAACTAAGTAACCGGTTTACATGTTTTGATATCTGTAACACTATGTTAGAGTAAGTCAGTAATAAACGCTGAATGCAGATTTTATTTAAGCTGATATCTATCAACAATCAAATCTTCGATGTTGAGACAAATGATGCTCCAAGAATCCTGGAATCTATAGTATTGACTGTTACATTGAGAGAAGTGTCTATCACGTTTCTTGCGATCCAACTGACCATGTATAATATTAGACAAATGAGAAATACTAAGAATACTGACATTCAGCAGCGTATGTATATTATAGGTTATTTACAATTCTAAGAGACAAACAAATACATGAAATGATGAAACATCGTCTTCTACATTGGAACACACTACAAACAAAATGTGTAGACATTTGTAGATGTAATGAGAAAGGAGTTTTGTGGATATTATAGTAAGTTAATAGCTGAATTCATGAGTGAATTGGAGCTAGATCACTATCAAATCTTGAGAGCACTGAACGGTCTAGTATGGGACTCCTCAGCAATGTGCAACCATGATTGGCCCAACGGATTCGAACTCAAGGCCTAACAGTCTCGCACGCGAATGCTTAACCTCTAGACTTCTGATCTGACATTCAACGATGTTGATATCTAACTTCAATTAATCCATGAAATTGCGCCACCGTCTATCATTTTCTTCAATAAGTTACTATCTGTGAACAAACCCGACTAAACTCCATTGGTCTCAAGTTTTCTATAGTGGTCTAACTTCAATGGACTCATGAATTGATCTACTAAATTTCTAGATCTACTTCTAAGGATTTTTAACTCAGGACAATGAATTCGATGTAGTTGAGATCAAATTATTCAAATCAAACGTGAATGTTCTAATCAAAGCCAAGTTCAAGAATCAAAAGTCATCTCTGGATTTCATAAAGAGACCATGTTTCATGAATGTCTTAGTTACACCAGGTTGTTTCATCATCAAAGTTCTGAATAATTTACTCTACATTTGAATATACTACTAATATGTTATGAGTAGTAACTTCATCAATGGAAAGATTTAAGTAGTTGCCACTTTCACAAGTAAGTTGCTATCAGCAATCAATAGCTAGATGGATAACGCGATGATGTTTCAAGTGAATGGTACTGGGTTCATATCCTAAAGTGATCATCATCAAGTCTCAGATGATGCAGATACATTCAGCTGATGAGTCTCAACTAAGACGAAACATGGATGTTGGATTTCTATTCTTAATTTTTATTTTATTTTATTTTAACACATATATATTGGTACAAGGAGGCACCACATACATATGCGCCATACAGATCTTATTGGATATGTGTGAGGGCTGTGATACTGCCCGGATGCTCAAACCCAAGCAGGTGGTTTTCTTAGGGGGCCACACCCCGAGCCTTCGACCTGAAGGTTTGATCCACAAGACAGCGGAGCATCGTAAGGAAATGCAGTCCCATGGTAACCGATGACCAACGATTGGTTCATACGCCATTTGTTCCTTCAGGATACTGGAGCCAGCCCATGTGCACCATTGGTTTCGAATCCGGTTAACGCGCCAGACATTCGATTTTGTTAAACAACACTCCCGCCACGAGAAGGCAGTGAGTAGGACTTCCTTGACAGAGGCTATATACGCATGGCCATGTGAGAGCATTCCGAGAGGGAGAGCAGACTCTCCCTACTCTCGGTCGTACCAGGGCATTTGGGGGCTTTATTCTTAATTCTATTGTATAGAATATATATCCGAATAAGATTTAGAAATGAGGTGAATCATTCAATCAATCATCAATGAGATACTTTGATACATTTCAGTAATTTTAACAATCCATCAATTTGTTATCATTATAAATATAAAGTATAAATCATTGTCACCTTGAACATGGTGGTTGAATTAATCGTATAGGTGATAATGGATCACCAAGTAATGCTTTTAAAACATGAACAATTCCTTCAGCCAAACTATCAACGAAATAACCACCCTATAAATAAATAAATAAAAATAGTGCTTTAATTCATCATTATGAAATCATTAGTGAACAAGCATATTTGACATTCATGTAATGTAAGTGATCATTGTTATCCTTTAGAGATATAGTGGGACCCTTCATGTTGACATCAACTAGATCGGAGGATGTTATCGAAGTGATCATCAATTTAGTGGAACCCTTCATGTTGACGTCAACTAGATCGGAAGATGTTATCGAAGTGATCATCAATTTAGTGGAACCCTTCATGTTGACGTCAACTAGATCGGAGGATGTTATCGAAGTGATCATCAATTTAGTGGAACCCTTCATGTTGACGTCAACTAGATCGGAGGATGTTATCGAAGTGATCATCAATTTAGTGGAACCCTTCATGTTGACGTCAACTAGATCGGAGGATGTTATCGAAGTGATCATCAATTTAATGGAACCCTTCATGTTGACGTCAACTAGATCGGAGGATGTTATCGAAGTGATCATCAATTTAGTGGAACCCTTCATGTTGACGTCAACTAGATCGGAGGATGTTATCGAAGTGATCATCAATTTAGTGGAACCCTTCATGTTGACGTCAACTAGATCGGAGGATGTTATCGAAGTGATCATCAATTTAGTGGAACCCTTCATGTTGACGTCAACTAGATCGGAGGATGTTATCGAAGTGATCATCAATTTAGTGGAACCCTTCATGTTGACGTCAACTAGATCGGAGGATGTTATCGAAGTGATCATCAATTTAATGGAACCCTTCATGTTGACGTCAACTAGATCGGAGGATGTTATCGAAGTGATCATCAATTTAGTGGAACCCTTCATGTTGACGTCAACTAGATCGGAGGATGTTATCGAAGTGATCATCAATTTAGTGGAACCCTTCATGTTGACGTCAACTAGATCGGAGGATGTTATCGAAGTGATCATCACTTTAGTGGGACCCTTCATTTTGACGTCAATTAGATCAGATGATGTTATCAACGGGTTGACCAGTTGAGCTTGCTGAGTTAACTTCGTGATACAGCTCACCACTTTTAGTAGCCCTATATTTGACTCTAGTAGGATCGTTTCTGTTTACTATTGAGATATACATCTCGCTAATCATCTTCTAAATTTATCGATTTAACTTGAGTGAATGAATAACGGAATTAAAACATGTCAAATATATGAGAAAGCAATTCGAAGATTCGTATATTTTTGTGACAATCATTGATTTAGGCAGACGATTAAAGGAACATAGTAAAACAAAATGATGCACGATATAGAAGATAGGTGAGCCAACTCCCCATTTAACCAAGCGTTAATCGATATTTGTAGTTACATATATGATGAATAGAATACGAAGTGTACACACACACACACATCTATGCACTCATATAAAAACAGTCAAGGTTGATAATAAATTCAGCATGTGATTCAGGTAGAATGAATAAATTGAAGCTGAACATAGTAACCGACACTACAGAGTCATTAATTGTTAGTCTAAGCTATATAGAGGAATGTAAGATTCAAACCTACAGTAAGAGAGATATAATCTACATTTGAAATTGATATAATTTAAAGGTGATATAAACCATAATCAAATTGAACTAACGGAACCCCACTTATTCTTAAAAACCTTTCTATATCTTCCTAAATTTATCATGTTGTGGTGATATACACAATCGAATTCAAATGATGATGCATATTGAAATGTTAAGAATTGCGTCATAAAAATTAATGTATACTATTTAATCTACTTATATTTTAATAAGTAGCTAAACTAATAAACATAAATTATTTGACAATCAAATGAACAACCGAATACAATAAAATAACTTTTATAAATAACTAATTAGTCATTTAATCATTTCTGAAAGAATGATAAATCTTGCTCTCCCTCCCCCTCCCCCTAAAAAACTGTTAAAACATAGCTTCTAATTACTTGAAATGAAATCAAAATATACTTGTTTATGATTGAGATCATGGACCGATTTTTGTTAGATCACTATTGAAAACATGGAAGCACTGGACGGCCGTTTCATCCTATTGTGGGACTCTTCTGTGGTAGTACGCATCCACAATCTCGCTCGCTGGATTCGATTCATGATCTCAATCAAACACTTGACAATCTCCACAACATCTAAATTGATATACATGTTTAGATAATGATATATCTGTTACATATATTATGTCCGTAATAAACAAACAACTGTATTCCTCCACAAACGCATACACAAATCTACATCGGTTTCATTGGATTAGATTACATAATACCAAGCCGATAATATCTGCATCAATAAAAGGATCAGAGAGAAGCGGACATAGTTTAAGGTCACTACCAGGTTGTGATTGTGACGAAACTGAAGCTTAAGAAGCACTGGACAACTGAAGAAACAACATTATAAGAGCTTAATACAGTCTGCCTTCGACATAGCGATAAACTCAACGAATCCAAGATAATTTTCAGTAACAGGTTCCAATCTTTAGACAGCCAATTCAAAGAAGAGGAAAGTACTATGAAGAACAACTGGAGAGGTATTGAAGAGGTAACAACTTCAAAATGAAACGAGGTGCTGGCCCGAAAGAAGCACCGTCATAAAGATTAGATCTTCATTAATACACTGGGTGAGATTCAATAAAGGAGAGGAAGGAGAAAGCAACCAAAAATAGCAGAATATGAGTAGTGAAACCTGAGGCATAGGCCGAACACATACAAGTAAACAAACGAGTGAATAATAGCACTAGAGTTGATAACTGTAAGTACGTCAGTAAAACAATTTGAAGGCCTCTTAAGTAAACCACCACCACTGAACCCGCCTTTCCTCGAAACAGCACACACAAACTTTCCTATTGATGTTACCCTACCAACAATTGAAGAAATCAATATGGTCATCAAACAGATCAAGGGTGGGGAAGCAACAGGACCAGACAACATACCAACTGAAACAGTGAAGTCAAACATAGAAGCAACTGTAATCATGCTCTATAATCCATTCTGAAAGCTTTTGGAGGTGGAACAAATGCCAACAGACTGGAAAGAAGGATACCTCGTCAAGATACAGAAGAAAGAAAATCTCATCAAGTGTGATATTTATAGAGACATCATACAGTTATGAATACCAAGAAACGTTTTCAATAGAATGTTGTTGAACCGATCGAAAGATTCAGTAGATGCCCAACTTGGAGATCAACAGAGTAGATTTCGTTAGATCAATTACAACATCAACTACTTAGTCAGATGAAGACGACTACATATTTGACATGTGTTAAACGCGAATTGACTGGTTTTAGTAAATTATGATTGAAACATTCGTCAGCAAAATTTAAAGTTTTGATTAAGATCATGAACCGAACCTGGGTTTGAATCCCGCAATTGGATTGTGGATGCGCACTACCACGGAGGAGTCCTACAATAGGAAAAAACAGCCGCCCAGTGATTCCAGGTTTTTAATGGTGGTCTGACATCAATCGGTTCATGATCTCAAACAAAAACTTGACAATCTCCACGACTCCTATACTGATAATTCACATGTGCTCACAAGCGACTAGCTTCGTGAGAAAATTCTCGGAGTTCTGGTGAGAAGTCGTGACCAGTGGAGCTAATCCGTGTTGGGTAGAAACAGGTTTCTACCTCAGTACAATGGAAGATGGTTGCACAGCTTCTTATTATATTTCTTAATGGAAGGAAGTAATTAACAATGATGTCTTAGGGATTAGGTTTGAGTCCTACACGTGACTACTTCGATTTCGGCAATCAAAAGGGGTAGGGTATCACTAGGGCTTAGTAACATAAACACTGACCAATAAAAGGTACTTAAACTCCACGAATAGTCAAATTTGAACAGTTATAAGTATTCAATACTATTATAGTGAATGAGAACACAAGTAGGAACAATCGAATGTATTAGAACACATAAAATACAGAACATCTTAGTCAAATCTAAGAACCATATACAGTGAATACTTCACTTGCAATATGTCAATCAATCGTTTCAGACTTCATTGTTCTTTCATCTTCACATCAATCATTCTTTATTTTCATTCTCTTCTGTTTAATCTTGTTAAACTTCTCTATCACCAGGCATTTCACTTTCGATTCATGATACATACTACTTATATCTGTTAATATCAGTAGTATCAGAAGGGGTTTTGTGGAGATTGTAGTAATTTCAATAGTTAAGATCATGAATCAGTTGAAGCTAGACCACCATGGAAAACCTGGAAGCACTGAACGGCCGTTTCGTCCTATTATGGGACTGACTCATGATCTTAACTACAAAACCCCTTCTGATAATAATCAATATATGCTCACTAGTGACTGGCTCCAAGAGGTATATCCTGGAGTTCTAGTGAGAAGTAGTGACCAGTGGAGTTCAATCAGGTTTGTTGTGAGATAGTAACTCACAGAAGACAATGGTGGATGTGTCGCTCAATTTTTTGGATTAGTTGAATTTAGAAATCGACACCGTTGGATGCCTGTCGGCTCAGTAGTCTATTGGTTAAGTGCTCGCGCGCAAAACCAGTATGTCCTGGGTTGGAATCTCGCAGGGGGCGAGGTCGTGGATGCGCACTGCTGAGCAGTCCCATAATAGGTTTAAACGGCCGTCCAGTGCTTCCAGGTTTTCCATGGTGGTCTAGCTTCAACTGACTCATGATCTTAACTATGGAGATATCAGTAGTACACATTATAATATGTTCAAAGAAGTCATTAGAAGAGCCATATCAATCAGTAATTCACTTACTTATAGAATAATCAACCTGGTTTATGAATAACTAGATTGATATTGGAGAATTCATTGATGAAAGAAATATGTCTTCCTTGAATGTCAGTAACACGAGAGGATCTAGTCAAGCATTGAAATGATAGAGTAGATCTATGTAGCTCCGATAGATGATATTGATGCAGTTCAGAGAACAAAACATCATTCACATAATCAAATCATTGTGTGTTTACTTTTTATTATGAAAGAAAAAGAAGAAAATATCAACAACTTACTTCAAGAACGACAACAACTTTACCTCCAGCTAAAGATTTTAATTTATGTATAAAATGACCAAATATCATTGGAGTTAACCACATTCTACCCTGTAATTAGATTTCAAAAAAAAAGAACGGTTTATAACAATTATGATTAATTTTTAAGCAAAGATGGATAGTGGTTAGTAGTGGAATCCAGGAGGCGCGTTTCGTCCTATTTGAGACTCGTCAGTTGAATGTAAGGTTGAACTTAAGGCTATATCGAGGCGATTCACACTGGATGCATGTATCCCAACATAAGATTGATCAATTGCAGTCGTAAACAAAAATGAGAACATTCAAGTAAACAAAAATATCAAGTGAATTTAAACTTCACCCCATAGCACAAACAGTCGGCTATTAGGACTCAGTCGTTAACACATGGATAATGTGATGACGTTTCACTCGAAAGGTATTGGGTCTGAGTCCTATAGTGGACATCAACTCTGAGATATAGGTACACTCAGCTGACGAGTCCCAAATACGACGAACTTCAAGTACAAGTCTACCTGAAGTTTGTGCTGATGATGTCGCTCACAAGAACGATGAAAGCTTCACGACCAAACCATTCAGCTTAGAGAATAAAACTCCAACAAAATCATTCACTTGAGGTACAAATCTTCTTCACAATCTCAATAATGATAACAAAACTCGAGACAAATGAGTTTATAGATCTGTCAAATAAGGATTCGATAGCTTGCTAAAACGATACCACCGTCCATTCAAACATTATGTGTCACCTATTTCGGAACTGTGCAAATATTTCGATAAACTTATCCATTATACATTTACTTGAAAAAAGTTATTATAAAAGCATTGTAGTGAACGACAACTCAAGTATCTACATCAATCGTTCTGCGTTCTTGTTCCCTTTTTCTTGATTTCAACCTTCTGCTGCCAGGCATGTTACTTTCGATTAATGATGCATACTTCTTAAATCTGTCGACGGCAGTAGCACACATCACACGCGTTCCCTTTTTTAAAGCAGTCGCTCTTGTGGTGGTTCTGCTCACTGTGCCCCTTTCTCTTTCTCTTTAGTCTGTGCCACGCTCTCTATAAAAATGTGGAGTCTATGGAGCGCTGACCTCCATATGTCCGTCGACCCACATGGCCATCAAAATCCGATATCCACCTTGCATCTGGGACGTTCAACGCCTGCGCTCCAGCCGTGCGTCGCACTGCTACTCTCCATTGACAGCATCCACTACAGTGAACTCTACCTAGTCAGAACACTCTACCCGACGTCACCTTCCCGCACCAAACCTCCCTAACAAGCACCTCAGCTCCAGGAACGCAACGATGTTTTACATTCACTATGCTTATTCACTTCAACCCGACACTTTTGCCTGTTGATTTATACTACTTATTAATATTCAGTAAACTGTTGTATTCTTAGCAATTTCCTCGCTGATGTTCTTACTTTAACTCAATCATTATAAAAGTTATCTAAAGTTTTGTGTATTTAATATCTGAAGGGGTTTTGTGGAGATTTCAGTAATTTCAATGGTCAAGATCATGAGTCAGTTGAAGCTAGACCACCTGGAAGCACAGGACGGCCGTTCCATCCTATTGTGGGTCTCTTCAGCTGTGTGCATCCACGACCTCGCCCTCTGCGAGATTCCAACCCAGGACATACTGGTTTTGCGCGCGAGCATTTAACCAATAGACCACTGAGCCGGCAGGCATCCAACGGTGGTAATGTCCAACTTCATGAGTCACTTGAAGCTAAACCACCATGGAAAACCTGGAAGTACTGTATTTGTTTAAATAAATCCAACGTCTTCTATATTCTCTGCTCTTGTTTCTGAGTTTCCTTGTTGATAAACTGTTACCGAACAAGTTTAGATTAACCTATCAGTTGTCTATAGTTGCACTGTTGAAGCCATTTTCATTTCACAAAAATGAACGTGTTCAAAAACACAGACACCTCACAAGTTGACGAATACTATTTTAGACAAATCATTGTTTTGTCAACTTCGATTTTGCGCGTATCACAATTTTATTTATTTTATTTTATTTTAACACATAAGTATAGGTACAGGGAAGCACCAAGTACATATGCGCCACACGAATCTCAATTGATTTGTGTGAGGGCTGTGATACTGCCCGGATGCCCAAACCGAAGCAGGTGGTTGTCTTAGAGGGCCACAACCCGAGCCTTCGACCTGAACGTCTGACGCACAATTCAGTGGAGCATCGTGAGGAGATGCAGTCCCATGGTAGCCGGTGACCAACGACTGGTTCATACGCCATTTGTTCCTTCAGGATACTGGAGCTAGCCCATGTGCACCATTGGTTTGGGATCCGGTTACAGCGCCGGACATTCGATTTTCGTCCTCTCATTTTTGTAAACAACACCCCCGCCACGAGAAGGCAGTGAGTATGACTTCCCTGGCAGAGGCTATATACGCATGGCCATGTGAGAGCATTTCGAGAGGGAGAGCGGACTCTCTCCACTCTCGGCCGTACCAGGGCATTTGGGGGCGCGTATCACAATAAGGTGAATTGGACGCTTTCATAGACCTACCTAATACTACTGAATAATGTACAAAAAACCAAAAAGCTTCACATCAAGTATAAGTGTATAAAGTGGTTTAATGTTACTGCTGATCAGTAAATGGAATACGAATAGCAGTGGAATGCAGGACATGTATTTCGTCGTACCATTTTTCACTCATCAACTGATCAATGTACTTACATCTCCAAGTTGATATTTACTTACTCACTTATGTATGTTATACAATGATTATGAGTTTGATTGGTTAGTTATTTATATCTAGACAATCTGTCTTCTGTACAGGATCAACATATACCAATCATCAAATCAAGGCTGATGGAAAAGTTCAGTCACGTAAGGAGAATAATCGTAATAAGGACTAGTTAGGATTTCAACCCACAACCATTCTCACTAGAAGTGGGCATCGCATCCCTAAACCACCACTGGACCGTCTACGTGTACTCATTACATACACCAATCATTACATATACTACGAAATCATTACAAATACCATTACCTGGATCACACACTCACTCACTCACTCACTAACTTGCCCAAATTCACACAACTCTACTCTTACTAATAACAATTAGTAAAATGAAGAAAATATTTCAAAAACTCCGCCTAGAGACCGTCTGGGGCTACTGCCGGTCCCACGCCCGGATAATAAAGGAGGAGGAGGAGGAGGTTTGAGCATGGGTCTAGCGACTTCATCCCGTAGAAAACTAAGTCGCCATAAAATAAACCCTAACAAGGAAAATATTTCAAAATATTAAACTCGTCAACCATGCAACTGTTGCTTCAATCAATCAATCATATGACTACGTTTGTTCTTTTGTTGTAAACTACACTTGCAACTGTCACAACTCTACATAGGAGCGTGTACCCAGTTATTATCTGTAACATACGTTCAAACTACATCAGTAAACACACGGCTTGTAGTCTGATTGGTCCAATATCCATTTCTCCAAAAACTCCTCGCTCTAATTTCAGTATCACTCACTCTGTCGTATAAATTAGTCTAAGCTATGTATATCCGCGAAAACATTTCCACAGCCAACAACAACCAGGTAAGATTAGTAAGACTTACAAAAGTCGGTTACTGTAAACGGGACTATTAGTAGGATTGAAAAGTGGGATTTCGTGAACAAGTCGAAGGTCCCAACAAATACGGAGCTAACACGAACATTACACACATAAAGGTCATGTGTGACTGACCTCATGCTGTTATCCTTCGGGCTCTTCGTTCACACTCTCAGGTCAATAGGACTAACTTCATTCCAATTTCATTTGCAGATACCTCTACGATGTGGGAAACCTGGAAGTGATATATGTCCTCATACCTCTAACAGCAATCAAGATCACTATATTCATAATCAATTTCTCTCTTCATTCCTTATTAATCCTCCTACCTTGACTTTCAGCTGTAAACTTCTTATTTTGACTTCCGCCTCAAGTGTCACCATGGCCAACGATTGATTCTAGTGAGCGAAACACTGTCCATGGTCTACTGATACCTCGCTCCATCAACTTAAGCACCCTATATCAAATCGGCCAGCTGATCTCCTTAGCTAAAACCCTAAAATTTCATACGATTAATGTATGCTGTGTCTCCGAAACACACAAACAGAATCCTAGTGTGATCATTCACTTGACCTTACCCCCCCCCCCAAATATGTAGAGCTGATAAGTTAAACTTTCCGTTTTTAATTTAGTTAACCTTATATAGAATTCTGTTTTCATATACAATATTCTCCATAATTGTGGTTTTACATTGCATTTTGTTCAGGCTCGGAGTTCCCAGATGGATGAGCCAATGTTGTTACTTGAATTAAGGAACATAGCATGAATTGGAGACGAAAGATTGGGTTACAATTAATTAAGATTGATCCTGATGGGTATGGTTTATTCTAGGAACTGGGCAATTATACACCAATGATATTTTCACACTACGATCAGTATCAACTAAGGTCAGAAATAAGAATCATTGGATTTTAACTTAATGATTTTAATGTAAACCGTATGATCTGGATGTTTTATTTTGGAAGCTGAGTGAACATTATTTTGATTTGAACACATAGTTTGTGTCAGTAACTAAGAGAAAACTAGAAACAAACGTTTTAGCATCGTAATTAAATATATTATTCATTAATTTAGTACTTACCTCTGGACAACCGATCGCTGCGTCAAACCCACAAGAAACCAGTATCAGCTGAGGATTAAACTGCAATTTAGGAAATTAAAAAAAGACAAAAACTGGGTAGTAATCAATGTCATGTGTATCAGGTCCGTCTTAATGCAGATTGAATGCTATCGACCAAGTTACAATCACAATTGATTGATCACTGGGTGGTGAAACCCTGGACCCGGGTCCAGGGTTTCCTGTCGACTACCTCCAATCACCATCTAACCAAGTTACAATGTGGCCACTAGTCTAACTAACAAGACATTATGTGCACGAACTGTGAAGCTGGGTGATACGGGATCGAATCACTCAGGAAGCTTCAGTCCCTTCAAGATACACCTTGCTGATGAATACCAGGTCTAGGGGTTCCTGTTAACTACTTCCAACCATCATCATAACTCTCATTTATTTTTTCATACAAATTGACCTACTTATTATATTTAAAGTAGTATGAATAATTATGGTAAATATTTCACGGAGATAATGCTCTAGAAGTAAACCTTTTGGGTGATTGTAAGGGGTTCGCGATATTTTTGTACTTTTTTGTGAAGCCAATGTCATGAAAAATCAATCATGTTCAATCGAAAAAAAGAAAACTATGCTAAGTGAAATAATTTGAAGTAAGTCCAACATTTCGCCTGGCAATCTGATCCAAGATTTATCAAAGAAATAACTTTTCCTTGAAAAAGTTTGGACTAGATTGCCAGGTGAAATGTTGGATTTACTTCAAATACATTCTGTGAGATTATCACAAATACAACATTCTACCGCTTTCATGTCTCATATTAAATCAGTGCCCGAATACTGTGAAACTATTCGATCAAATTTAGATGAAAGTTGGTGCTTATTATGTGAGATGGTTGAAGAAAATTAATAGGAGACCCTCGATCTACATTTCATTTTGTTCTACAGTTTCTTGTAAGAAGTAATTGTAAACTTATCCCCTTAGTGGGTTTCTTGTTTTGTCATAAAGTTGTGACGGTAAAACGAAGGTATTCTGGCGGGTCGGCGTTGGCTGTAGCGGGTGCTGTCGATGGAGAGGAGCGGTGGGACGTGTGGCTGCTAGGCGGACATCGGATGTAGATGGTTCAGCAGGTCGGTGGAGCACGGATATTAGACGTCCCAGGTGCCGGGTGGATGTCAGATGTTGGTGCCCCGGCAGGTCGACGGAGCTAGGGAGGTCAGCGCGCTGCAGACTCGACATTTTGACGGAGGGCGTAGCACAGACTGCAGAAGAGAAGAATATTGCACGGCGAGCATGAACCACCGCAAGAACGACTGCTTTAAAGGGGGGACGAGTGTGGTATGTGTTAATTATGTAGACATATGTAGTATATGATGTTAGTCGTGAACAGAATGTCTGGCGTCAGAGAGACAAGAAGATCAAACAGTAAAGAATGAAAACAGAATGCAATTTGTATGAAAATGCAAGAACAAAGGAAGTCTGAGTCATTTGAGACAGTTGATGGACATTTTGCAAATTAAGCATTTACTACATGATTGTTCGATTTGATTAACAAGTCCTGTAATTTTGTGTTAAATGCATCCGATTGTCCCCATCGGTGTTCTGTTCACTGCAGTATTAGTGCTATTACTATTATTAGTATTGGTATTAGTTGAAATCACGAGCCACTTGAAGCTAGAACACCATGAAAAACCTGGAAGCACTATAAGGCCGTTTCGTCCTAGTGTGGGGTTCCTCAGCAGTGCTCATCCACGATCCAGCCCCCCCCCCGGAAGATTCGAATCCAGGACTTAACAGTCCAGTGCATCCAGGTTCTGTAATTTATTGCCAATTACATTCGATTATTCCCCACCTATATTCTGTTCACTCCAGTATTTAAAACCGTAACTAACCATGTATAGATCTTATAGAATTATGCCTTCATAATGGAATGTTACCAGTAGTATAAGTGGTTTGACACTGCATGAAATATGCTTTAGTATTATCTAGTTGGAGGTAGTCTGTCAATATGGGCTAAAACAGCTCTGTTGCTATGAATCATGCAGGTTCTGTTTCTTACCTGGATATCATCCATGCTCTCAATATTCCAGATCGTTCTTTGTAGATGAATGATATCTAACAAAACAAAACCGATACCTAAATTGCCTATTTATTGCCTCAACCTACTTGATATTCGAGAATAATGATTTAGACAAGTGGACATAATGCAACTAGATCTTCAACTACTCCTTCACAATGACTTAAGCTTACATACACACACACACACATAGATACCTGTTCCCATTAAAATTTCCCAAAAAAATGATACTCATATTGTTGATCATTTACCTCTGTAGCGATAGGCATAATCAGACGGTAAAATATAGCGAGATAATCCGAGTCCGTCATACCGATCTGTAAAGATAATGGTTAAACAATATTCAAATGAATATTACACATAATAAGTGCAATAAACAACTGTATATATATCCAAATGGAGTTCTTAATGAGCACCATAAAGATTTCTTATATCTTGTAATTCCCGGTATTTCACTATGACCAATGACTAATCCATCTATGAAATATTCAGTATAAGCAGAGATGAATATTGGTTAGTAGTGGAATCCAGGATAACTCCGCCTGAAGTCCCTCCGGGGGCTACTGCCGGTCTCAAGCCCGGATAATAAAGGAGGAGGAGGAGAGTTAGGCATGGGATTAGCGACCCTATCCCATAGAATACTAACTCGCTAAAAAAAAAAATACGCTAACGCTAACCAGTAAAATCCAGGATGTGCATTTTGTCCTATGAATGAATGAAAAACTCAATAGCTAACTAGATAACATGATAATGTTTAAAGCGAATGGTATTGAGTTCGAGTTCTGGAATGAATATCAATTCTGAAATGTAGATACATTCAATTGATCAATTCTAAATAGGATGAAATGCACGTCAAATTGTATTCCATGGCTAATCATTATTCATCTTTATTTATCAAATGGACAATTTTCACTAATCACTGAACTATTACGTAACTTACTTACAATTTATGACATCACATCACTGCAATTGATCAGTCTCATGTTGATATATGTGCATCCTGTGCGGATTGCCTTGATATCGCCTTAAGTCCAGACTTACATCTAGCTAACGAGTTCCAAATAGGATGAAATGCACGTCAAATTGTATTCCATGGCTAACCATTATTCATCTTTATTTATCAAATGGACAATTTTCACTAATCACTGAACTATTACGTAACTTACTCACTTCAATTACTTTTTGTTTTATGGAATATTGTTCTATTTAATCATGTAGGGTTGTAAAAATCGATCCAAATTTTATTAAAGGCTACAATTGTAAAACTTAATTAGGTAAATGAAATTGTAGTTTAGTAAATTACCCTTGTTGAATTAATTTTATTCTTCTTTGATGTTTGAGATAGTAAAGAAGATCTGTAGTTCAATTGGATGGTTTTGATGAAGTTTTATTCTTTGAGCTGGATGGTTTGATTATGGAACTTGCATCGTTCTTTTGAATGACATCATCAACACAAACTACAGGTAAACTTCTACATGAAGTTCGTCCTATTTTTGGACTCGTCAGCTGGGTATATCTGCATCTCAGAGTTGATGTCTACTCTGGGACTCGAACCCAATACCTTTCGATTCAAACGTCATCACATTATTCATGTGTTAACGACTGAGTCCTAATAGCCAACTGCTTATGCAATGGGGTGAAGTTTAAATTCACTTGATATTTTTGTTTACTTAAATGTTCTCATTTTTGTTTACGACTGTAATTGATCAGTCTCATGTTGGCTCAGAGAATTGAACTCCATCATAAACTAAATTTGAATCTTCTTTTTAATTCTATGAAGTAATATCTATCTGAATTTTGTACTGAAGAACAATCAGTTAATAGAAGTCTTTAGTGGAGCCCGTTGAGTTCGTTGACGGCGGCAGCAGCAGGCTCAACACTTTTTGTGGGGGGGGGGGCTTTATTTTGTTGTCACTTTAAATCGGACGATGTTATCGAAAGGCTCTCCACTTTAGTATGACCCGAGATCTGACTCCAAATAGATCGTATGAATGTTTGTTATCGCCTATCCTCGTATATAATCAACGACTTAAATCGCGTTAGACAATAACGGGATTAAATAAGTCAAATAACGAGAATAGACTTTTGAATACATATATTTTGTATAATCGTTGATCCAGACAAACGAAAGGGAAAACGATGAGAAGGGAGGATAGCGAAGCAGAAATGATACGCGGTGGAGATGGTGGGTAAGCCAACTCTCCGCTTAGCAAAGAGTTAATCAATATTTATAAGCACACAAAAGTTAGTTACAGACATGGATGAGTAATGGGATAAGGACTAAATACACGCCTACGTGGTTATATAAAAACAGTCAAGATTGATAAGTGAATGATTAACAAGGTTAGAATGTGATTCAAGTAGAATGAATAGAATGGGCTATCCAAAAGCTAGAATATGGTATTTGGGCTTATCATAGTAGCTGACACTACAAGTCTAATCAGCTAGGATAGGTTAGTGTTTGATAAAACCTCTGTATGAATTTAGAAAATTGTATTGATTCTTTTATTGAAATCATGAACCGATTGTTGTTGAAAACCTGGAAGCACCGAATGGCCGTTTCATCCTATTGTGGAACTCTTCACCAGTGCACATCCATGTGGACTTTTGCTAGCTTACATCATTTGTGGCATAGGTAATAATGTCTATCTGACAATTAAAGAAGGAAGGTACTTCTTAATAGTTAGTCCTGTGTGAATTGATAGGTGTGAAAAGTGATCTTTGAAAAAAAGAGAATATTTGTATTTGAACATAAACGTCTTCGAACCAATGTTGATGTATTTTGTGACTATTGTGTTAACAATACTGAAGTTAGATACAGGGTTATAGATAAAGATAAAAAATCTGCTGATGAAATAATTTGACTTCATTAACTGAGATGTTTAGAACAATAACACATCCAACCTTTTCCCTGCCTAAACACGAGACATTTGTTACTATGAGAGTAATTTACAAGAAAGTTAGAAGTGTCTTAACTAAGATGGCATTAATCTATGTTTGTCGAATGATCTGTATTGATAGGTAGAGATGACTTGGTTACAGTCTTCGTGATCATCGTAATGACACCAAATGCCCTGGTACGGCTGAAAGTGGGGAGAGTTCGCTCTATCTCTCCAAATGCTCTCACATGGCCACGCGTACATAGCCCCTGCCAGGGAAGTCCTACTCACTGCCTTCTCGTGGCACTACTGTTGTTTACAAAAATGAGAGGACGAAAAGCGAATGTCCGGCACCGGCTTTGACCAGATCCCAAACCAATGGTGCACATGGGCTCCAGTATCCTGAAGGAACAAATGGCGTATGAACCAATCGTTGGTCACCGGCTACCATGGGATTGCATTTCCTTATGACTATTAAAAAAATGGTAACTCCATCTGTAGCTCTTCTAGTATTATTACCAATCCCAAACCCGGGTAAAGGAGGAGGATTAGGCATAAGGTCGGCAACCCCTTTCTTGTAGAAAAAAAAATCTTGCTAAAAAACGTCAACCAGAATGAAAATGGTGAATAGAATATCACAGTTAGTAGACTTAATAGGGTCAGTAATGATATAATCAGAATCATGATAACTTCCGGTTATTGTTCATTCATTCGATGTATCAATGAAGTGCGATCTTATCTGAAAGTTTTCATTTCAATCGTCTAAAGTTATTTGTAACTAACTTCTGTGAATATGATATTGGGTTTTGTGGATATTATAGTAATTTCAATAGTTAAAATCATGAGTCAGTTGAAGCTAGATCACCATGGAAAACTTGGGAGCACTGGACAGCTGTTTCGTCCTATCGTGGGACCCCTCAGCAGTGCGCATCCACGGCCCCGCCCCTTACGAGACTCGAACCCAGGACCTACTACAGGACCTACTAGTTTCGCGCGCGAATTCTTAACCACCAGACCACTGAGCCAGCCGGTATCCAATGGTGCTAATGTCTAACTTCAACTAATCCACAAAATTGAGCGACACATCCATCATTGTCTTCAGTGAGTTACTATCTCACAACAGACCTAGTATAACATGGTTTGACATCGCTGATCACAAGTTAGAGTTCGAAACCAAGTCTTTAGTAAAAAAGGATATCTGAATATACACAATGGAACCAATGAATGAATAGTAAGTACTGGTTAGGATATACATAATGAACATTGAATGCATTATGGATAAACTAAGTTTAAATTACCTCTTCTAATGGAATATTAACATTATAACCTTTGCCTAAGTTTTCACCAATAAAATCATAATTTGCTTCACGTAAATTTGGCCAAAATTTTGCTTTCTCATAACGATGAATAGAAATGTAAAGGACACTAAAAATGAAAATGTATCAATGTGATTTCTGTTAATTATATCATATACTAAGTTTAGTAAGATAAGTATTAGGAACCAGAAGACACACTGGGTAACTGTTTCGTCTCAGTATGAGAGTCCTCAACAGAGTATATTTACGACCCCACAGGGGAATTGAACACAGAATCTTCAATCTTGCATTGGAATGTTTAACTTCCAGATTAGTGAGCAGGCTAAGCATTCTAAGCGCGAGATTGAAGGTTCTGTGAGTTCAACTCCCTGTAGGGTGGTAGATGTGTATTGTTGAGGACTACCATACTGGGACGAAACACCTATCCTAGTTTTCAATAGCTGTCCAACTAAGATCGATGGAAATCCAATAGTCCCCAAGAATCTCCTATAGTGAAATATTGTAAAGATTAGTTCAATGATGGTGAAAGTCTTTATGTTATCACTTGTTTCTACAGTGTTAAATATACTCTTCTACGGGATTGATCTATGGGTGGAATGTGTCATTTTAAGTAGAAACTCATTCAAAAGGTCAGTCAAAAATGGTCCACTCATCAAATGCAGCATATCCGTGAACGTATCCATATTCGTCGCTGAACTAATCTTTCTTGTTATCATGTTATCAGGGAAATCACGAGAAATACCCAAGGACGTCTATGAGTCAAAACACTTAACAATTTACAATTCACACCTCAAATAATCTTCACTAGAACAATGAAATCAACTCTGTTCAATACTCCAAGTCTGTCAATCTTTTCCATCGTGAAATAGATTGTCAGATTTGACAAGCACCTCATTCGTTAAAAAAACCATCATCATTTAGGAAGATCTAGCACTTAGAATGTCTACTCTCTCCCTTCCTCTTTCTTCTGGTGGTCGACTGGATAATGAAGACCTCGACATCTGAGGGGAAACACGGCATACAATGGACAGCTCAGAATCAATTAGACGACTTGGACTTCGCAGATGACCTAGCCCTCCTATCGCATACACACGAACAAATGCAGATAAAGACAGCCAGCGTAGCAGCAGTCTCTGCATCAGTGGGCCTCAACATACACAAAGAGAAAACCAAAGTCCTCAAATACAACACAGAGAACAGCAATCCAATCACTCTTGATGGCGAAACTCTGGAAGATGTGGAATCCTTCACATACCTGGGAAGCATCGTCGATAAACAAGGAGGATCAGATGCAGACGTCAAGGCGAGGATTGGCAGAGCAAGGACAGCATTCCTCCAATTAAAGAACATATGGAACTCAAAACAACTTTCAACCAATATCAAAGTCAGAATCTTCAATACGAACGTCAAGCCTTTTGTGGGAGAGAACCAACTAGCTTCCAGCTGAAGAGAAAATTAGGAAACGACGATGGAAATGGATAAAACATACAATACGCAAATCATTAAACTGCACCACGAGACAAGCGCTAATTTGGAATCCTGAAGGGAAGCGGAAAAGTGGAAGGCCAAAGAACACATTACGTCGGGAAATAGAAGCGGATATGAAAAGAATGAATAAGAACTGGAAAGAGCTGGAAAGTATTGCCCAGGACAGGGTTGGACGGAGAATAATGGTAAGCGGCCTATGCTCCTTCATAAGGAGTAACAGGCGTAAGTAAGTAAGTAAAGTAAGTAGCACTTAGAAACAAGTTTTCAAATTTCCTATAAGAATCTAGTATTCCGAATAAGATATATGATGTTGGTTTAGAATCAGGGTTTTCCAACTCGCCTAAGTGAATCTTCCATATCCACCAACCCGGTTAAAACATTGGATATTCACTTTTCATCTGCTCAATTTCGCCACAAAAGGCAGTAAGTTAGGACTTCCCTAACACTGGCCTGACTATATGAAAGGATTTCGAAAGGCAGAGGGAACTCTCCTCACCCTCGACTTTACCAAGGCATTTCCAGGGTGGGTGGGGAGCTCAAAAAGGTAGTTCAAAATATTGACTCAAGATATACAAATTCTAACAGTTACTAATCAAGATTCAATTATAAATATTAAAAACAAGATCATACAAACAGTAACAAATTCATGAACACATTTTATTTAGTAACTATGTGAACAACTTGTGGGGCCCTTTATTTAGATATCAATTAGACTGCACGATGTTGTCGAAGGGCTCTCCACTTTAGTGTGGCCCGTAGATCTGACTCCAAGTAGATCGCATGAATGATCGTTGTCGAAATATATATATGTCGCCTATCCTCGTATATAATCATTGACTTAAATCGCGTTAGTCAAATAACGGAATTAAATAAGTCAAATAACGAGAATGGACTATTGAATGCATATATTTTGTATAATCGTTGATGCAGACAAATGAACGGGGAAACGATGCGAAGAGTAGAAAGCAAAACAAAAATGATGCGCGGTGGAGATGGTTGGTAAGCCAACAAACTTTTTTGTAACCAATTGATTTATCAATTAAAAAATATTTGCAGAAGCGGTTGTTTTGTGGAGATTTTAGTAATTTCAATAGCTGAAATCATGAGTTAGTTGATGCTAGATCATCATGGAAAACCTGAAAGCATTGGACGGCGATTTTATCCTATTTTGGACTCTTCAACATTGCGTATTCACGATCCCACTCACAAGATTCGTGGATTAGTTGTAGTTAGACATTAACACCTCTGGATGCAGCCGACTCAGTGGTCTAATATAGTTAAGCGGTCGAGTGCGAGAACGAAGTTTCTGGATTCGATCCTCGCGCGGGGGGTGCGGGATCGTGGATGCCCACTGCCACGGAGGAGTCCCACAATAGAACGAAACGGCCGTCCAGTGCTTTCAGGTTTTCAATGGTGATTTAACATCAATCGGTTCATGATCTCAATCAAAAACTTAATAATCTAAACAACCCCTAAGGTGATCTTTAACATAATAGTTGAATTCATGAGTCAGTTGGAGCTAGACCGTCATGGAAGATCAGGAAGTATTGGACGGCCGTTTCATCCTATTGTGGGACTCCTCAACATTGCGCATTCACGATCCCACTCATAGGATTCGTGGATTAATTGTAGTTAAACATTAACACCTCTGGATGCAGCCGGCTCAGCGATTTAATATAGTTAAGCGCTCGAGCGCGAGAACGAAGTTTCTGGATTCGATTCTCGCGGGATCATGGATGTGCACTGTTACTAAGGTGTTCCATACTAGAACGAAACAGTTGTCCATTACTTCCAGGTTCTCCACGGTAGTCTAACTTCAGTTGACTCATGATATTAACTATTAACTAATATAACATTCAATATAAATAATTCATAGCTTACCGATTATCATTATAAAATGTATATTGTGTTCCTTGTCCATGATGTACATCCCAATCAATAATTAAGATACGTTGTAAATAAGTTATATTATGTTTATTGATTGATTTCTTTGTTACTGGGATAATTCTATTATGAGGTTGAAGGAGACTAGCAACTGTAATAGCAATATTATTAAATATACAATAACCACAAGCTTCTGAACGCATAGCATGATGACCTGGTGGACGAATTAATGCTAAACCATTCGATAATTGATTAGTAATAATTAATTCCGTTAAATGTTTTACACTTCCAGCTGCTAATGTTGCACAAAGCCATGTGTACTGAATTATATAATAATGTAAGTAGATTTAAAAGAAAAAAACAATTAAATCAAATAACAAACATGATCAGTAAGATTTGATTGAGATCATAAAAATCTAGGAGCAGTGGACGGCTGTTTTGTTCCTGTAGGGGACACTTCAACAGTACATATCCACGATTCCATCCACCCCCTGCGAGATTCAAACACAGGACATATCGATCTCATGCACGAACACTTAACTTCTATACCACTAAACTGGCTGGTATCCAACAATGTTAATGTCTAATCTCAACCAATCCACGAATCCGGTGAGTGATATTGTGAATGCACAATGTTGAAGAGTTCCACAATAGAATGAAACGGCCGTTCAATGATTTTAGTTTTTCAATGGTAGTCTAACATCAATCAGTTCATGATCTCAATTAAAAGCTTAATAATCTCCACGACCCGATATTGATAATTAGTAAATGTTTGAGGTATTCCCTTGTTGATATTCAGGAGTGAATACAAAGGAGATCCTGTACAGATTACCTCGATATACTCATCATAATACAGATTTTTTTATTTAAAACAAATGATTTATGGTTAATAAGGAAATCTAAAACACTGAATAAGTTCTATTTGATACATGTTAGTTGGATGTACCTATTCCCCAGTATTTACATTTACCTTGCAACTTGAATCCAATACCTTTTGTTACATGCGTTAATATTATCCTCTGAGTTATTGAATCCAGATAATCACCGACGTATTCAAAACTTATATTTTCCAAATGTAAACATTAATATTGAAATGTAGGGCACATCCAGAAGGGGTTATAATGATTGAGTTGTTTACATTTATTGAACAATACCAAGCTATGAATCATTTTATACTTAACCCCTTTAGATTTTGTAAGAGTCGTACAAATAATACCTTTATGATTGTAGATAGAGGGCATCAAATGACCTGGTACGGTCGAGGGTAGGAAGAGTTCGCTCTCCTTGTAGAAATACTCTGCCATGGAAACACGTATACATCCATTACCAGAGAAGTCCTATTTACTGTGAGGGTGTCGTTTACGAAATTGAGAGGACGAAAAGCGAATATCTGGCACTTTAACCGGGTTGGTGAATACGGAGGATCCACTTAGAGGAGTCGAAATACTCACATTCCAAACTAATGGTACATATGGGCTCCAGTATCCTGAGCAAACAAAAAGCGTATGAACCTATTGTTGGTCAATGATTACCATGTGATTGCATCTCCTGACGTTGTGCCACTGCTGTGGGTTGAAGGCTCCGAGTGTGGCCCCCTAAGAGAACCACCTTCTTCTCTCTGTGCACCCGGTCAGTATCCGAGCCCTCACAAAAATCAATTAATTTATGTGGCGCATATGTCTTAATAATAAACTTAATAATGATCATGATAAAAGATATATGTATGTGCTGTTTTATCACAATTTGATATTCCCCATCAATACATGCCTATAACTTTCAGGTATCGTAGAGATTACAATAACTGAATTATTCTTCCGAAAAGGTTTCGTTTTCAATTCCAGTCTGTTCTTGATGGTTGGTTTAGTCAAAAAATGTACATTGATGATCATTCACACTATAAGAATATAGCCTGTGATTAGTTATATAAACTATGGACAGATCAATTCTATCATATTCCGTTTGGAAAGCTCAAATACATTATATCATCTTGGTGTATGTAACCGGAAGGAAGCATGGGATACAGTGGACAGCTAGGATTCAGCTGGACGATCTAAACTTCGCAGATAATCTGGCTCTTCCATTGCACACGCAACAACAAATGCAGAAGAAGACGACCAGTGTAGCAGTAGCCTCAACCGTAGTAGGTCTCAACATACACAAAGGGGAAATTAAGATTCTCCGATACAACACAACATACATCAATCAAATCACACTTGACGGAGAATCATTGGAGGATGTAAAAACCTTTACGTATCTGTGCAGCATCATTGATGAACATGGTGGATCTGGTACAGATGTGAATACGCGAATTGGCAAATCAAGAACAGCTTATCTACAACTGAAGAACATCCGGAACTCAAAACAACTGTCTGTCAATCACAGTTGTCTATGCAAAATATTCCGGGTCCATTGGTCAGACACTATCAGAAACAACCTACTGTGGGAGAGAACAAACTAGATTCCAGCAGAGGAAGAAATCAGGAAGAATCGCTGGAAGTGGATAGGGCACGCATTGAGGAAAGCACTCACCTGTGTCACAAGGCAAACCCTAATCACTTGGAATCCTCAAGGCCAGAGAAGAATAGGAAGACCAAAGAACACATTAAGCCGAGAAACGGAGGTACATATGAGAAGAATGAATAACAATTGAATAGAAGTAGAAAGAAAGGCCGAGGATAGAGTGGGTTGGAGAATGCTGGTCAGCAGCCTATGCTACATTGGGAGTAACAGGCGTTAATATGTAAGTAAGTTAGTAATGTAACCGTTTATTAGTGAACTATTTTTGTTCATCTGTAATTAACTAATTGCCATGTTCACTTAAACAATTCGTACGCTAATAACACATATGTTGAATGTAAGCATTCCACAATCAAAAATTAGTTGTAAACACATCAAAGAAAGTCTATCACATCATAAAATGTAAAGACAATCGTTCAAGGAAGATTTTCTTTTATACGATGTCATATACTTGAGCAACTCCTACTGGAGCCCCTCTGGGACTACTACCGGTCTTAAGCCCGAATAAAGGAGGACGGTTGGGCATGGGGTTAGCGACCTCATACCGTAGAAAACAAACTCGCTAGAAACGCTATATATTTAAGCTGTATAACTGTATTTATAATCAGCTTTACATAGAGCAGTCTGTGCCCCCAAATGCCCTAGTATGGCCGAGAGTGGGGAGAGTCAGCTCTTTTTCTCGAAATGCTCCAACATGGGCACGCGTATATAGTCTCTGCCAGAGAAGTCCTACTCACTGCCTTCTCATGGCGAGGGTGTTGTTTATGAAATCGAGAGGATGAAAAGCGAAGGTCCGGTGCTTTAACCGGTTTGGTGGACATGGAGAGTCCACTTAGGGCAGTTGGAAAATCCTCATTCCAAATCAATGATGCACATGGGCTCCAGTATCCTGAAGAAACAAATGGCGTATGAACTAACTATTGGTGACAGGGTACCATGGGACTGCATCTCGTTACGTTGCTCCACTGCTTTGTGGATCAGACCTTTAGGTCGAAGGCTCCCTAAGAAAACCATCTGCTTCGGTTTGGCCACCCGGTCAGTATCACAGCCCTCACACAGATCAAATGAGATTTATGTGGCGCATATATATTTGGTGCCTCCTTGAACCAATGTTTATGTGTTTAAATAAATAAATACTAGTCTGTAGTGGAACCATGAAGGATGAATTATGTCTAGTACATCATAATCTTTTCAGATAATAAGTAATAGTAGTTTATAGAAGGAATATAGAAGATAACAGTTCATTTAATAAATATAATATACTTAAAGAACGAGAGAATAACTGATATACCACCAGTTAGAAGGAATGTAAAGACTACAATCAAACAAAACAATCAGATATGTTCTTCTTTTGTATACAGAAATCAGATACGAATGAATATAGATCCAGTCACGACGCACAATGCTAACCGGTGTTAGGGATCATTGGAATAAAGTTAGGGGCAGCCAAACCAAAACATTGCATCAATGCTTGAAGTCACCAACTTCTAAACTGAGTCATGTTGGTAGATGCACACTACTTGGTTGTGGTCCACGTGAATATCGTAACCAATCTTTGGAGACTCTTGGTGACATGGCTCAGAATCGATCACAATGACGTACGTCGGTGTATACACTCTCTGTCTTCCTTTAAACTAAGAGATTAAAATCGCTTCATATCTTTCTTTCTACGAACTAATTCTTTCTTTCTGTACTATGTCCTTATATGCAATCTTTCTTTTATATATTACTACCATTGAATTAACTACTTTTATCAATCCGGTGTTCATCATGTTGTGCTAATGAGGTATGGCAACTTGGACCGATGCATATATGTGCCTGGTCCTACGTTGTGACTGACTGACTGACTGACTGACGTAAACAACTAACTGACTCAAGCGTTCTTTAAAATTTAATGATAATCCTAAACGTGGAATGTAACAAGTGTTAGTTACATTTTTAAAGATTAAAGTGTTTACTGTCTTGTATTCCCTTTGGATACCTATACAGGGTATTACTAGGATAAATGTTTGGAAAGAACACATTTTGTGAAGGAAATAAAACCTCCTCCAAAAGAGCACATAATATAAGGAATCCAGAACAAAACACTTTGTCCTCAATACTTTGCAGGGTGAAGTACATTCTAGAGGAAAGAATTTGAAGCTCTGTTGAATAGGTCTTTCTCAGAGATATTGACAGTTCAAATTCGGTCAAATCAGAAGTTCTGAGAGAGACTGTATACTGCTAAATACAGTTTTTTTTTTTCTTTCATGTACATACCTATGTTTACATCAAGATAAGTGATTATACAGTTGAGTATACTTACACCAGTTTGAATCTTATCATTATAAGCATCCACTTGGATTACAGAACAGTACATAGTGTATATTACTAGGATCTAGCTGAGACCATCGTCATCTGATGTTAATTTCGAAGTAGTATCACACTAAAACTAAACAAAATCGGTACAGACCTTCATACATGAATATACTCGTATGGTCATTAAGAAGTATTTATTAACCTGAATAGAGTCCAAACAATTTCGTTTTATCTATCTACTTAATGGAATGACTGACAAATATTTATAGTTTTGATGGAGTTTTTTCCTGTAAACTGGATAGTTTACTTGTGGAACTTTTATTGTTCTACTGAACAACATCATCATAAACTTCACGTAGAACTTATGGAACATCTTATAATCAAGACAAAGATGAACTAGACACGTTTTATTCAAAAATCTCAAATCATAATAAGGTCAGATACTAAGAGATTGTGAAGATTTGTAGTTCAAGTGGATGATTTCGATGAGGTTTTGTTCTCTATG